GGGAGGAAGAGGAGGAGGATGAGGGGGAGGAAGATGAGGAGGAAGAGGAGGAGGAGGAGGAGGAGGAGGAGCAGGAGGAGGAGGAGGGACGAGCCGATCCTCCGCCGAGAGAAACAGGGAGGCGGAACCAAAACTAGAGACCTCCGGAGGTTAGTCGATCCAGACGCCGGCCTAGTCGGTCCTGTTCACGGTTCGACGCGGGGGCGGGCGACGTACCCGCCGATCCGAACGAGGACGTTGTTGAGTTTCCGACCTGTGCCACGCCCTTGGATTTTCATGGCGAAGTGCTCAGTGGTGGTCGTAGCGCCCGTGCTGGGCCCCGCCCAAACCCACTGCAGTAGGCTGGGCCCCCGCCGGCTGCAGAACTTTGCCAACCTCTGCCAACCTTTGCCTCGCCTGGCGAGTGCCTGGGCCACCTGAAGATACTGCAGATACTGCTGAGCATCCCGACGCACCAGCTGCACGGCGCGAAGAGCGCGCACGGATTGTGGGCGACGCCACCCGGGACGGCCGCGAAGCAGAGCGTGAGCCCGGGGCCCGCGACGAAGGGCCAGGCCGTGCATTACATGCCCCCGTAGCTGGTGAGGTAGAGCAGCCAGCCACCGTCCTTGGAAAGCCGTCCTGCTTCCTTCCTGGGTTGAGACGGCGCCCCTGAGATTCTCAACGGCTCCGATGGCCTAGCCCCCGACCCCTTGCGCTCTCCAAGGCCAGGTCTGGTCGCCGAGCGATTCCCAACTCAGGATCCAGGTTCCCCAGCCTCCGATCCAGGAGACTTCTGGGACTGTGGGGTGGGGGTGGGATTGGTTGGCGTCCCTCTCCCCGCGGGGGGCCGGCGGCTCAGGCGGCTCGTGCTGGGCGGGGAGACCCTTGCCGGCGGCGGCCCGAGCTCGCTCGGCCCCTCGCCGTCGAAGTCCACGGGATCTCCGAATCGTCGCGCGCGAAGGAGCAGTACCCGCACGACGCCTCCGCGTCGGGGAGGTTTGGCAGGCTCCGCAGCGGCGCGCCGCTGAGGAACCCCGTCGCCAGCAGCAGCCCGCCGCCCAGCGAGCTGGCGGGCTTGGGATGCCCCTCCGCCCTCGCCTCGCCGGACCGGCGAGGAGGTGGGTGGCCAGCAACGCTGCGCGGCGGGCGGTCGTCGCTGCCAGGCACCAGCCAGCCCTTCCTCTCCGCGCAGCAGCAGCGGCCGGCAGGGGCTGCGCGCCCTCCGCCTGGCAGTTGGGCGCCCTGCGGCGCGACATCGCGCCGTCTTCCGGGCACCCCCGGAATCCTGTGGGCCTCGGGAGTGGGCCGCTGGAGTCCCCGGCCTTGGACCATGTGAGGCCGACCCCCAGCTTGACCCAGAAACGCATGAGCCCCCAGCAGGATAGAGAGAGAGAGAGAGAGAACGAGCGAGAGAGAGAGAGAGAGAGCGAGAGAGCGAGAGAGCAGAGCAGAACAAGGGTAACATCAGTGAGAGGAAACTCGAAGTCGCACGTCCCTAGGGGCTGAGCGAGCCTAGCGCTCACAGCGAACAACTAGAGATACGAAGTTGGCCTGTTTGCCAGTGTTCCATGGACGGCTCTTATCCACCGACGGTCGAGTGCAACCCAACATGTCCTGGATCGAGATCTCTGATCGTACGTGCCTGCTGCATCCCGGTGTCACTGGGCTTGTGGGGCCCATGTTGCTCTCGGACAGGCATCATGTCCCTCTGGCGTGCCTCTCCGACCGAGCTCGACGCTGCAAGCTCGTGCCGCCTCGGCGCTGCGCGGCAGCACGGGCGCGGTCGTGCAGGGTCGAGCGCGACGGTGGAGCCCGTCCAGGGTTGAGCCGCTCGCGCGGCGATGTGGCCAGAAACTTGAGCTTTGCGCGTCGCTCCTCCGGCTCTGGCCCACCGCGCTTCGGCGCGCGACACGCCATACGTGTCCCGGTCCCCCAGGCGTCAACGTCACGACTTCCTCCGACCCCCCGCCCCGCGGAACGCTGCACGCGACATCCACTGAGAATGCATCGCGCGTCGCCAGGGCCGCCGCCGCCGCCGCGACACGCTAAGCGAAATTCTCCGGCCGCAGAAGCGAGAGCCCTCGCCGTCATTCCGAGGAGGGCAGGTTGGGAGAATGGCAGTTGGCCTCCGGGGGTGCCCTCGCAGCCACGGCCGGGGGCAGCGCGAGAAAAGGCGATGCGTCTGCACTGTGGGAGGTGTCCCAGTGCCGAGTCTGAGCTGCCGTTGTCGCAACTCGCCCCTCCTCTGATTGGAAGAGCCGGGCGAATCCGTTCTGATTTGTCGAGCAGGAGGAGGGGGGGGACAGGAGCAGTAGCAGGAGGAGGAGGAGGAGGAGGAGGAGGAGAAGAAGCACATGTAAAGGGTGTAGGGTGGTGGGGCACTGGGCGGAGGCTGGCGCTTCGAATCTTGGTTCCCGCGGAATGCCTCAGCGACGACGATCGATGACGAAGGGCAGAGGACGGAGAGGACGAGGCGGGGCAGCGTTACAGTCGGGAGGTTTGCCGCTGGCGTGTTACGCCGCCGGCTCTGCCCCACCGCGCTTCGGCGCGATACGCTATCCACGTCCTGGCCCCCCAGCGTCAACGATCCGAGCCTTTCCGAGCCCCCCGCTCCGCGGAGCGTAGCGACAGCCTATCCGCGTGCAGGGCACACCGTGTCGCCGGAGTCGCCGCCGCGACACGCTGAGCAAACGTTCCCGACCGTAAGCAGCAGGTCCTGGATCACGCCCTCGACGTGACTCCATCGTGCGGGGAGAGCGCGCGCGAGCGCAGCAACTACATTTTGTCATGCTTGTTTCCCCGGAAAGGGCGGAGGCCCAGGGTTCTCTTTAAGTTGGTTTACCCCCGGTTCGAAGTCGACCAGGGCCAGCGAATTAGAATTTGAGGATGTCTCGAGCGAACCGCTTGTTTTTCAGAATTTGCTGAGCATGTCTCGAGCGGAACGCTTGTTTCGTGTTATAGATTGTCCTCTCCTGGGGACCTGAATTGAAAGGATCTCTCAAGCGAAATGCTTGTTTTCACGTGCCCAGGTCTTGAGGATGTCTCGAGCGAGACGCTTGGTTTCACGCCTCCAGGTTGCCCAGGCAGAGGTCTAGCGCCAGGATTTGTTGAGGATGCCTTGAGCGAGACGCTTGGTTTCACGTGTCCTCGCCCAGGCAAATGTCTAGCATGCGGATGTATTGAGGAAGTCTCGATCGAGATGCTTGTTTGCACGTGTCCAGGTTGTCCAGGCGGATGCCTAGCATGAGGATGTGTTGAGAATGTCTCGAGGGATACGCTTGTTTTCACGTGTCCAGGTCGCCCAGGCACTCAGCATTGCAACTTGGCACGTTCCCTGGCACGTTCGGTTGCGCGTCCAGTGGCGAGTCCCCCTGGCACGTCGCGTGGCGCGTCCCCTGGCACGTCCTGTGGCACGTCCATTGGCACGTTCCGTAGCGCGTCGCCTTAGCACGTCCCGCGGTGCGACCCCTTGGCACGCCTCCTGGCACGTCGCCTGACGCGTCCCGTGGCATGTCCCCCTGTCAATTAGCCCTGGGGCAGCTACTCTGTGCTCAGGCAGCTCGAGCTTAAGGTCCAGATCACTTCGGTCATGACTCGGATGCAAAGGAGGACTCGATTCACAACGCAAAAGAGCACAACCGCGGCATGGCACATCGCAATTCAGCACGGCGCAGCACAGCACAGCCCTCGGCGCGGTACATCAAGATCGATACACTCAGCATTGCAATTTGGCACGTTCCCTGGCACGTTCCGTGGGGCGTCCTGTGGCGAGTCCCCCTGGCACGTCGCGTGGCGCGTCCCCTGACACGTCATGTGGCACGTCCATTGGCACGTTCCGTAGCGCGTTCCTTTGAAGGCACGTCCCGCGGTGCGTCCCCCTGGCACGTCGCTTGGTGCGTCCCTTGGGACGTTCCGCGGCGCATCCTCCTGGCATGTCCCCCTGTCAATTAGCCTTGGGGCAGCCACATGCAGCTACTATGTGTTCGGGCAGTTCGAGCTTCAGATCCAGATCAGTTCGGTCAGGACTCGGATGCGCAGGAGGACTGGATCCACGACGCTATAGAGCACAATCGCGGCATGGCACATCGCAATTCAGCACGGTGCAACACAGCGCACAGTCCTCGGCAGGGTACATCAAGTTCGATACACTCAGCATTGCAACCTGGCACTTTCCTTGGCACGTGCCGTGGGGCGTCCCTTGGCGAGTCCCCCTGGCACGTTGCGTGGCGCGTCCCCTGGCACATCCCGTGGCACATCCACTGGCACATTTCGTAGCGCGTCCCCTTGGCACGTCCCGCAGTGCGACCCCATGGCACGCCCCCTGGCACGTCGCCTGGCGCGTCCCTTGGGACGTTCCGCGGCGCGTCCTCATGGCATGTCCCCTTGTCAATTAGCCCTGGGGCAGCTACTATGTGTTCAGGCAGCTCAAGCTTCAGATCCAGATCAGTTCAGTCAGGACTCGGATGCACAGGAGGACTGGATCCACGACGCTATAAAGCACAAACGCGGCATGGCACATCGCAATTCAGCACGGTGCAGCACAGCACAGCCCTCGGCAGGGTACATCAAGATCGATACACTCAGCATTGCATTTGCCCATCACCCAATCAGGTGTCTTTGAAAACGCTGTCATGCGTTACATTTCTATATTCCTTTCTGGGTTCGTGTGTCGGTCATGTTTCGTCGCAGCGCGGCAGAGGCAACCCGCACGCATGCTTCAGTAGGGGACGCTGGACGTTGCAATGACCCGGCTGCAAGAGGATGACAGGCAGGGAAGGGTGGCCGCGAAGAACAGGAGAGAGAGGAGGGCATTCACCAAACAATTGCATGTTTACAGTCGTGGGCGCGCTTGTGCTGAATACGAGCCTCCGGACAATGTCGTGCGCGGTTGACCCGCGTCCCCTCGTTTCGCCGCCGCCGCCGTCGCCGCCGTCGTCGTCGTCGTCGTCGTCATCGTCGTCGTCGTCGTCGTCGTTGTCGTTGTCGTTGTCGTTGTCGTTGTCGTTGTCGCCGCCGAGGTGGCCGGGGCCAGCGTGCTGGGCACCGAGGCGCCACGGGTCCTCTGCGCGTCGCGAGCGCTTCGGGTGTGGCTGGAGTTGACTCGTGGCTGGCAGCGGTTGCTTGTGGACAGCGTGAGGTCGTGGCTTCGCGGCCGCTTCGTATACGATCGGGCCGAGGTATAAGATCGAGGTCGGTTTGGCGAGGGCACTCTTATGTTCTTCGTGCTTGTTGGATGTTCTTGTGCATCCAGTGAAAGGGTACCCTCGCATGTTTTTCAGTTTGGCCAGCGGAGGGCCTCATGTTCCTGGAAAAGGCAGGGCCCAGGGTTCTCTTTTAGTGTGTTTACCCCCGGTTCTGACGGCTGTAAGGCCGGCGAAATTATGTTGCGATAAATAACGAGGTCGACTAGGGCCAGCGAATTAGAATTTGAGGATGTCTCGAGCGAACCGCTTGTTTTCCAGAATTTGTTGGGAATGTCTCGAGCGAAACGCTTGTTTTGTGTTATAGATTGTCCTCTCCTGGTGACCTGAATTGAGAGGATCTCCCAAGTGAAATGCTTGTTTTCACGTGCCCAGGTCTTGAGGATGTTTCGAGCCAGAGGCTTGGTTTCACGCCTCCAGGTTGCCCAGAAAGATGTCTAGCGCCATGATTTGTTGAGGATGTCTCGAACCAGAGGCTTGTTTTCACGTGTCCAGGTCGGCCAGGCGGATGTCTAGCATGAGGATATGTCGAGGAAGTCTCGATCGAGACGCTTGTTTTCACGTGTCCAGGTCGCCCAGCCACAGCACAGCACTCGGCACGGTACATCAATATCGATACCCTTAGCATTGCAGCCTGGCATGTTGCCTGGCACGTTCCGCGGAGCGTTCCGTGGCGAGTCCCCCTGGCACGTCGCGCGGTGCACGTCCATTGGCACGTTCCGTAGCGCGTCCCCTTGGCACGTCCCGCGGTGCGTCCCCCTGGCATGTCCCCTTGTCGATCAGTTCTGGGGCAGGTACCATCTGCTCAGGCAGTTCGAGCTTAAGATCCGGATCAGTTCGGTCAGGACTCGGATGCAAAGAGGGCTCTATATAGAGCACAATCGCGGCATGGCACATCGCAGTTCAGCACGGCCCAGCACAGCACAGCCGTCGGCACGGTACATCAAGATCGATACACTCAACATTGCACCTTGGCACGTTCTTTGGCGCGTTTCGTGGCGAGTCCCCCTGGGACGTAGCGCGGCGCGTCCCCTGACACTTCCCGCGGCACGTTCCGTAGCGCGTCCCTTTGGCACGTCCCTTGGTGCGTCCCCATGGCACGTCCCTGGCACGTCGCTTGGCGCGTCCCTTGGGACGTTCCGCGGTGCGTCCTCCTGGCATGTCCCCTCTGTCGGTTAGTTTTGGGGCAGCTACCATCTGCTCAGGCAGCTCGAGCTTCAGATCCAGATCGGTTCGGTCAGGACTCGGATGCAAAGAGGACTCGATCCACAGCGATATATAGAGCACAATCGCGGCATGGCACATCGCAGTTCAGCACGGCCCAGCACAGCACAGCCGTCGGCACGGTACATCAAGATCGATGCACTCAGCATTGCATTTTGGCCCGTTCCGTGGCGCGTCCAGTGGCGAGCCCCTGGCACGTCGCGCGGTGCGTCCCTTGGCACGTCCCGTGGCACGTCCAGTGGCACGTTCTGTAGCGCGTCCCTTTGGTAGGTCCCGCAGTGCGTCCCCATGGCACGTCCCTCGGCACGTCGCTTGGCGCGTCCCCTGGGACGTTCCGCGGCGCGTCCTCCTGCCATGTCCCCCTGTCAATAAGCTCTGGGGCAACTACTATGTGTTCAGGCAGCTCGAGCTTCAGTTCCAGATCAGTTCGGTCAGGACTCGGATGCAAAGGAGGACTCGATCCACAACGCTATAGAGCACAATCGCGGCATGGCACATCGGAATTCAGCACGGTGCAGCACAGCACAGACTTCGGCACGGTACATCAAGATCGATACAGTCAGCATTGCAACTTGGCACGTTCCTTGGCGCGTTTCGTGGCGAGTCCCCCTGGCACGTCCCTTGGCACGTCCCGTGGCACGTCCATTTGCACGTTCCGTAGCGCGTCCCTTTGGCACGTCCCTTGGTGCGTCCCCATGGCACGTCCCTGGCACGTCCCCTGGCGCATCCCTTTGGACGTTCCGCGGCGCGTTCTCCTGATTAGCATGTCCCCCTGTCAATTAGCTCTGGAGCAGCTACTGCGTGCTCAGGCAGCTCGAGCTTAATGTCCAGATCAGTTTGGTCAGGACTCGGATGCAAAGGAGGACTCGATCCACAACGCTATAGAGCATAATCGTGGCATGGCGCATCGCAATTCAGCACGGCGCAGCACAGCACAGCCCTCGGCACGGTACATCAAGATCGATACAGTCAGCATTGCATTTGCCCGTCTCCCAATCAGGTGTCTTTGAAACGCCGCCATGCTCTACATTTCTATATTCCTTCCCGGGTTGGTGGGTCGATCATGTTTTGAAGGATGTTCTTCTCTCCCAGGTCTGGCCGTATTCGTGACTGGTCCCCAGTTTCGTGCTTTCGTGGCTGCATCGTGGTGCTTGTGGTGATTAGATGTGTGGCGTCGTGGCTGTAAGAAGTCCGGTCGGCTCGTCTCTTTTTGGTTGCCTCGCCCCGCGTTTTGCCACGAGCGTGACGCTCGGTTGCGGCTGACTCGTGGCCGCCAGAAGCCTGGCTGCTTCTCGTAGATTTCCTCGCTCTTCCCTCATCCCTCGCCTGACTCCTCGCTCCTTGCTGTTCCGCCCTCTTCATGCCTTGCTGCTCCTCCCCCCTTGCCCCTTGTTCCAGGCTGCTCCTCCGTCCTCCGTCCTCGGGCGTTGCAGATGTGAGTAAATATCCGCCGTCTCCTCGTCATTGTCCCCACCCTCATTCTCCTCTTGGCTCTCCTTCACCACCATGATCGGCATCAGCATTTTACATAATCTTCTTCCAGGCTCTCCACCATCATCACCATGACGTCCATCATGATCATCACTTTCTTCAGCTCACTGTACGCGACTCGACTCTTCCCCCTCATACCCCAGCGCCTTAAAACGCGGACTCCAGGCGGGGGGATCCCTGCCCATAGCCCTGCTCATCGCGTTCTTGCGGCATCCGCACGAGGTTGAGGCAGAGGCCGGCCCGGCTGCCTTTCCCATATTGTTCCCTTGTGTTGATGCCGCGATGCAAAGCAGTGCATGATCTTATGTGGAGTCCCATTCTGCCAGACAGCACTTCTGTCGCACAGCACGTTCGAAGTTGAGAGAGCAGTTCCTCATCCCATCCTCACGATTATCATGGCGCAGGCAGTACGTCCACCTGTCAGTAATTAGTTTCTGAGGCTGCCTCGCTTTTCTGGCCTGCCAAGGGCAATGAGCCCATCAGGCTTCCGCCCTCGAAGCCACTCCGTGACCCTCCCCACCGTAGTTAGCTCATGGGTAAAGTTCTCCAAGGCCGAACGGGGAGTGGGCGGTTATTTCCTCCATGCGCATGTGTGATTGTGATTGTGTGCGGGCGCCATTGAGAGCTCCAATCCTTCCCCTCCTCTTCCAATCCTTCCCCTCCTCTTCTTCTGCGTTCTCAAGGTTTCTTTCGTAGCAGAGGGCGTCTTCGTACGATGACACGGCTCATGGTTCTCTCATGTTGCAGGGGATTCGAACATTTCCAGGATTTGTGCCCACACCCCCATGTGCCTAGTCGCTTCCACATGTCTCCCCCGTGAGAGAAAGAGGATGCAAGAGAAGGGTAGCACGGGAGGAACGACAGAGATGGCCGAAGGAAAACAGTGTGCCAAAGAGACAGATGGAGTGAGAGAGCGAGAGAGTGAGAGAACGAGGTAAGGATACGGAGGGTAACGGGGAAGATTGGGGTAGGTGCCCTTGTCACCGTGAAATTTTGTGTGCTGCATGGGTCGAGCGACAGTGATTACTTGAATATGTGTGGCAATGTTTGGCCACTTGGTCTGTCATTGCGACGTGGGCTCTTGGCGTCTTTGCCGGTTGCCATGGGTACGATGCTTGTGTAGACGGCGATGATGACAAGGCTTGTTATGATGATCATAGCGGCGCTTTTGCTTGCCAACGGGGTAGAATTGCAATCGGAGGGACTTCGCTTGAGCATGATTAAGTCAGATCGAACAAGGTCGTGTCGGCCATCTGGGATCACCAGAGCACCCTACATGACACATGATAGAGCCGTGCTCCTTCTGGTTCTCTGGAAGGCAGGCTCGGCGAAGAGATTGCCCAGATGACTAAGCGGACGAGCGTTGAGATTGAGTGGAGTTCCGTTGTTTGGGTGGTGGCCGGGCGCCGGGCCGCTGGTTGCCGTGCATGCCACACGACGTCGTGCAAGCGGGTGCTGTGCGGTGCTGCGCCTCGGCCTGGCCGGCGTGCGCGTGCGTGGCTCTGCGCGCCTGCTCGCCGTGGCACCGCTCCCATGGAACCCGAAAGATTGTGAGGCCGCGGTGTTCTGCGGCAGCCCCGCGCAACTGCCGTGATCCTTTCCGCTCGGCTGGGCGCGGTCGAAGGGAGGCACTGCTCGTGTGGCCCGGCGCTCTTCGCCCATCGAGGACGGGTCTCGAGGGGAACCGGCCCGACCTGGATCAGGCCCCCCCGGGGCCCGAAAACGGCACGCCCGCGTGACGTTGGACCGTCCGCATGCGCCCCGGAAGCCTAATTTTGCATTTTCACCTACCCAGTACAGCGTTTCGTGGCCACCGAAGCCTCCAGTGGGACCGTCCGCATGCGTCCCGGAAGCACAATTTTGCATTTTCACCCACCCAGTACAGCGTTTCGTGGCCCCATAGGGAGCTCCACCGAA